CTGTGAGAAGCCATCCTGTGTAGCTCGCACGGTCATTGAGGCACGCAAGCCATCACACCATGTCAAGGCGCAGTCTCGTCGTGATGGCATTCGGAAGTTACAACGGGAGTCAAGCTGATCCAGAGCACAGAAAGTATAAAAGGAAACCGGTTGCATGCAAGATATCTGATTATCGGACAAAAGATTCCAATAGACAATGTGTACACTTCGGAGTTGGAAGTAATAGGGCCAATCAATTGTTCCTCGGGAGACGACCATCCGGAATGCCAAGGGCTTCCAGACACACCAGGGACGCAGCCTGTTCGGAGAACTTTTTCGATTTGCAACTAGAAAAAAAGTAGAGATTTTACGGATGAATGGATTTGTCGACCGTGAATAGAAAAACAGCATGCCGAAAAACCTGTTGAATATCGGTTTCACAGTCACAGCAAAAATCACATTTGGCGGTTAGACAATGTTAAAATTAAAAAAAATCAGAGTCAAATGTTTGAGTTGGACACACCTTTTTCCAACGCACGCATTTTCCGGGCCTGGCATACGAGTAAGAAAACTTTAACCAGGAGACTGGGTCACATAGGTCCTGTTAGGCCCCCTGACTGCGGACCCCGAGATCACGATCACCGGTGGTTAGAGATACTGAGTGATATGGCTGGGTATCGTAAACCGTGGCACTCGTGCATTTACTCATTATTCTCTCAACACCACTCTATATGAATTCTCCATCTTAGGGTGAATTTACTCTTGATATTCCGATCTTCATTCTGCTCTTTTATGCAAATGAGCTACCAAAAACCGGTGCACAAAAGTGGATGGTTAAGGGTTGTAAAAAGTGGACTGAATTGAACTTTCCAGATGACCCGAATTAAATACGACTTGACGAGTTAATCTAACTGAAGATGACAAACAGATTAGTGAACTGAACACTTATCCGTCAAACGTGATCCCTAATATTCAAAACTGCAATGCGAGTTCAATGAGAATGTGAATACTAAATTGACCGTGCACATATTGGACAACAGGTGGCTGAACCCTCATGTTGCTGACTCGTTAGTATCCATTGTCAGATTTAACCTGTACCGGCAGGACAGGAAATCATGTGGCAAGAAATCCGGTGGTGGTGTGGTTACCTACGTCAACACTTCGTGGTGTGGAAAGTCAGATGCCGTTTACTCATACTCAAGTAACGGTATTGATTGTTTGTCTCTTCAGTGTTGCCCTAAATTCTCCCGACATAGAAGTACCTTCATAACGAACCTATATATTGCTCCGTTTTGTAGGCAAAATACCATCTTGTCATTCTTCGACTCATTTTTACCTTTTCTTGTACCAATGCTTGAGGACAACCTGCACATTATTGTAGGTGAT